AGACGGATTATTTTTTTCTACATAGAAAATGATGGGAACTATACTGTAAGTAACCCACGCACATTAGATTTTCGTATATTTTGAGATAAAAAATAAAATGTATATTTGTCCATACAAAAATTTTTTTTTCTCTGAATCTATCAACTTTTCAAGAAATCATACAAGAATAAAAGTTGTTAGGAATGTTATTATATATCACATAAAAAAAATTTGCTCGATACTCCACAAGTTATTCCTATGTCCAAGAATTATCAATTTGGGCCCACTGTGTGGCGTTCCGATATGACCCTTTGGGACCAATGCAATATCTGCGATATCATACTTCTTGGAATTACAAATAAAATTAAAAAATATTATTTCGCACGTTCGGTGTTCTCAGCCTAAAATCACCGTAGCCATTGTTTTTTCTCGCTTCTTACACCCAGTAACATTGAAATATGAATAATTTTAAGCTAAACTATCAATATGTCTAAATGGCATTAGAATAGACAAAGTAGTGTTCTAGTTATTATTTAGAGGATGGAAACGTTGTGAGTTGCGATTGTTTTTTTTTACAATGTATTTGTATACGACTCCAGGTGCATATCCATTTTGAGGTAAAATATAGCGCCATCTAGTTGACGTGTTTGTTATCACTAGAAGCAGATTTGATAGAATCAATGTGTCAATGTAAAATAACGTTACAAAATAGCTATTTGGTAATCGTCGCGACATCTAGTGTACCAATAGGTACTAAATACCCGGCTACGCTATCTTGTATGACGATTAGCAGTCCTCTTGAGTTATTGGTCCATGCTATTATATATTAAAAAAAATACTGGCAGATGACACCCCTGTTCCTATTGGACTTTAGATGACGATCCTTGGAGTTAAATCCTAGAACCGGAAATAAACTATTTATCTATTACTAATATAGTTATTTTGTCGTGAACATACCGAGCAGAAGGTTAAATGATTTGAAACAGCTATATAAATCTGTCATATGGAATACCGTATTTCGCCGCCGTAGCTAACGTGCGTTTAATTAGGAAGAAACAATTGGACGCCGCTTTCAAAATCAACAATTTGTGACAATAAAGCAAATCCTTGCCATTGAATTTGATCCTTGTTTCAAAGAGTTAAGATGTAAATTGTTTGAGATGTAACTTTTCGGTATGTAGACGAATAAATTTTAGTGCTAAGTACAGTTAAAGGATTATGGAAAAAGCCGTGACAATCTACCTCAGTGTTGTAGCGATTTCATGAAACGATGATTTTGAAACTCGTAGCTATAAACTGGTACAGTTTACGGAATATGAAACGTAACATCTTAGGCCCAAAGCAAGCCGTACATGTACAAGTACGATGCAAAACTATACCGTATCATACATAGATTCATAAAACATATTGGTCATTTGCTTGACAGAATGGAGTGGCATATACAGTAAATGTAAAGGCCAAATCTGCCGTCGGAACGAAAAAGGGCACAACTGTCGTACAAAGTACGCATAGTTGTGCCTGTTTTTGTTACGAGGGCAGAAATGCTTTGATCAGTATTTATATATTGGTTAAAGTGATCATTATCATCTTTTTCCGTTAGAGCGGGGTAATAAATTGTGAATGTGAATGTTTTAAAAGTAAAACATGTTTACGAAAATGAAATGAAATGTTTAATGAAGAAAACAAATTAATAAAAAAATGTTTAATGATATTTTTTTTTAAATAACAAATCTTGTGTAGTATATTTTTTGCTTTCGCGCCATTTTTTTATATTTGTTGTCATGTCTTGTTTTGATAAAGCGGGAGATTTTTAAGTATTTTGGGGACGGTGGGACACGAAGCTTAAAAGCGGGACGGTCCCGCTCAAGACAGGTCGTATATCGTCGACTTAGTGCAAGAAGTCATTAATTGCTATATAATTTATATGACAATTAATGACTTCTTGCCGATGATATGGTCACGTTCTATTTGATACGATGTTGAGGAATTTTCTAGCTTAATCTACTTCAGTGGATGATTTGTTGGCACTTCAGTTACCAAAATGTTTCCAAGTAAATATTCCAATACGTATTTTTCAAAGCGTTAAAAATGAGTCTTAAAAGAACGAACTGTATTACAATTTTCTATGAAATCTGCATTTTATTATGAAAACTAACACGGTTATCACACATTATAATATAAAAGTAACGGGACTTACTCGCGTAGTATTTTAGTCGGAAGCGGTCCGACTATTTTCGACCATAATCGATATTCTTCTTCAGGGGTTGAGTGCAACGTTCGCGACCGTGGCACGTCTAGTAGTGCTAGACGTGACGTGACGTGTCCAGCAGTGCTAGACGTGACGCGGTCGCGAACGTTGCACGCAACCCCTGAAGAAGACCATTGATTATGGTCGAAACTAATCGGACCGCTTCCGACTAAAATACTACGCGAGTAAGTCCCGTTACTTTTATATTATTATGTTAATTTGCATGTACATAAATCACGACAATTCAAGCTAATGACTGAATTTCATAGTTGTGTACGAGTACAGACTATAATTAGTTTTTGCCATTTGTACAGGACATAATTGCAAGTAACACTCAAATGCTAGTCTCCGTTATTTGCATGTGAACAAAACGAGTAAGGAAAATAATACTAACTTACTACTTATGCATTCATTGCAACATTCAGTGCTTATTTTTGCTACAGGATAAACGATCACAAGGTTAAACGCTGTCTATGTCTATTAAATCGCTGCTTCTGAAGAATAGTGGCCTAATCCAAAATAGTTATTCTTTAATTCTGAGATTTGTTCAGAAAATATTCAAGTTATATTGTGAATGGGTCACCGAGATTATCACTGGTTAAAATAACCATATGACAACGATGCGATATAATAATAATAATTATGCGCCAGAAAGCTACACCAATTGCCTTACTCAAACTAGGGAATTCTCTCTTCTTTAATTACCAGAGCAACGAAATTCACGGGGACACTTCCCAAGAACATCCAGACCAGAACCAATTTTGAAAAGTTCATTTCCCAAATTGCTCCTACCGGGAATCGAACCCAGGACCGCCGCAATGTAAACCGAAGTTGTTCGTAGGACGTCTCAGTTTTTAAACCAACTTCCTGATGAATTAAATGTTTTGAGATTGGTCTCTATAGTACTGAAACCCATCAATTTATATAACACGCGGTGTTCGTCATTCATACACCATTCCATATTATTAAACAACACATAATAATAAATAACAATAAATATCATTTACAGGCCGGAATCTGCAGAAACATCAGAGTTCCCCGTGGAAACAGGAGACGTGATCCTGGTGGCAACAGACGGAGTATTCGACAACGTACCCGAGCCGGTGCTAGTAGCTGAAATGAGACGGGCCCAGGAGCTGGCAGGGGATCCCCAAAGATTACAGGCTGTGGCCAACTCCATAGCTTGGATGGCCCGTAATTTGTCTTTTGATGGCTGCTACATGTCGCCTTTCGCAAAGAGTGCACGACAGAATGGCATAGATGCTATAGGTCAGTTGTTTATTTTAGTAAATAAAAGTCCCTTATTTGCTGAAGAACATTTTATTGATTACATTATAGTCATTATTTTGCCTAAGTTTATAAAAATACATATTGTACTTTTTCTTAACACATTTATTCACATGGCTATTAGTTAAAATGGCATAATATATTCCCAAGTATAGGTCTACCAAAATATAAGTAGTAGTAGAGCTCCTTGTGAAAGAGTTCGTTAAGGTACCTCGTCGTTAGGCGACCTTGCCTATTTTTGCCGCCAAGCAGTAATGTAACCATTACTGTTACGGTTTTCAAGGGTTAGGGTACTGGTGAAATACAGGCACATGAGATTGGTCCATTTGTCTCAGGATGAGGGGCGCGGTAGTAGTGCCCCTCTGATCTTGCGATTTAAAGCTCTTGAGTGGCACTGCAACTGCTTTGGACAGGTGTGTCGCTTACTACTAGGCGCACGACTTGTTCATCCCGTCACTTGATATCATAAAAAAACCATAATCTCAAAAAATTGAAATATACCAACACTTTACCTAATTGGAATAAACGTTCTTGATAGTTGCGATTTTTAACATTCGTCACACGGGACATGGCACACATAATTAGTTTAAACTTGAATTGTGTTTTACACTACAGCCAAATGTTTAAATTCGGGGATGAGGAATTGCATGTTTGCAATAAAAAAAATAAAGCAACAAAAGTGTGCAATCAAAGTTGGCAAATAGAGATCGCTTTATGAAATCCGCTTTTTTATAATATCATGTCATAACCATCGTACTCCTGTAAAACCTCAACAGGGCTTATCATATGAAAGTCATAAAAGTAATACGAACAACATGAATGTATTTATGTGAAATTTTATAACTTTCCTATTAAAGTATAAAAAAAAGTTGTCGACTAATATAGTTGTCATTTTGCAAATGTGTCCTTATTACACCAAGGATGCGACTTAAGGTTATGAGAAACCTGGACTTAATTTTTTTAAACTATTCTATTTTTTTTAAACCTATTGATCCACTGTTCTATTTTTAACTAAGAGAGTAAAACTATAATGAAAAAATCGAATAGACACACAAAAATTGTTGTCAAGTACCTAGTTTAAAAAAAAAAGATAGCGTCACATGTCGCTTTTAATTGTTAACGAAATTGCAATGTTCACTTACACCTTGTCTTAAAATAAGATTGCATAAAAAATGTATGCCATGGTTGTTACTAATCAACCCCACTATTTATGTTCGAATTTCGGTATTCGATTTATAATTAGGACAATAATTAAGAACCAACACCGAATTCAACAACAAAAATGTTTTCTGTGTTCAAACACAAAGCATTAGAGCCTAAAAAAAGTTTTTTATTACACCAAGTGACGGGACGAATAAATGCGCCTGGTAGTAAACGAAACGCTGTCCATAGCAGTTGCAGTGCCGCTCAGAGCTTTAAATCACAAAGGTCTTAGGGGCACTGCGACTGCATCTATCACCGTAAGACATAACTGGACAAGACCCATGTGCCTGTAGTTTCACCAGCACCCTTACCCTTCAAAACCGGAACGCACCTAATGGTTACATTATTGCTTGGCGCCAGAAATAGGCAAGGTGGCAATACTTCCCTTTTTCTTATCGTATCGATGGCATAGATTATACTATCGTGGCCCAGCACTAGGCCACGCTGACCGCGTCACTAGTAGCCACCAGTAAATCCCCACCTGAACAAATTGTCCTTGCTCCGACCAACCTGAGACCGAAGACTATTTAAAGACTTCCAGATCGGCCATGGCAATTAATGTCCAAGAAGGAGACTCAGTAGGTGAGATAAAGGTGGTACTTTCCTGAACAATCTTTCATAAAGAGCTCTATTGCTGCATAATGCGCCAGCATTTTAGCCATTTTGGGCTAAATAACGTGGATAAATTCTGCCAATATTTTTTTATTATATCAAGTGACGGAACGAACAAGTCGTGCGCCTGCTGGTTAGCTATAGGCCTGTCCATAACAGTTGCAATGCCACTCAGAGCTTTAAATCGCAAAGATCTGACGGGTACTACCACGTCACCCTGAGACATAAATTGACAAGTCCCACGTGCCTGTAATTTCACCAGCACTCTTACCCTTCAAAACCGGAACTCAGTAATGCTAAGATTACTGCTTGGCGGCAGAAATAGGTAAGGTACTTAGGCAGTATTTCCCTGGACGAACTCTTATTCTATTATCAATATTTTTTTAATTTGCTTTGTGTTTAGTAAGGATAAGCTGCTGTTGTGTAAGAGTATTACATAGAAGTTACTATTATAATAGCAACAATCCATATTACTTACGAGTTTGTCCTGAAAGTACTTTTCTTTATTGTGTATTTATATTATGAGTGTGACTAATTCGTTGTTTACGTCTTTGCAGGAGGAAAACCAGACGACATAACGGTGCTACTTGCAATTGTAGCGCTATGAAAATGTCCTCATGTGATGTACGTAGATTTTAGGCACAAGTCCTCTGGACATACCGTCCTTCTCCTGACAAGTGACAACTGTCGTAACTTACATTTGGCAATATTTTTTCTGAGCGTATTTTTAGTTTAGGACAATCTTGACCTGTAATTCGTTCTATCGTCAGTACTCGTTGGAGTACACAGATGTATACAAAAGGTAGACGTGTAGCGAACAATGGAAAATGTTCTGTTTGAAAACTTTGTAAGTTAATCTTAGTTACGACAAATATGTAGGGGGATGGTAAGCAAAAATTTAAATAGTAGAAATTAGTTATTACACAACGACACCAAAAACTTGCGATTTTATTTTTGGTCAACTTGTAATTATTGTAACTAGGCTACTTTCACATTGTTTACTTTGCAATTGTTAATAAAGCAATAAATTACTAGTTTCTTAAAGGTCACACAATAACATCGTGATAATAGTAGGATCTGATTTCGATGGTAGATTTTATAGATACGAGTACTTGATGAGGCAAAAGATATTCAATTAACAATTCACTTTGAACTATCACACACCAGCTTCAATATTGGCACAATTCAATAATGGTAAACGTAATAAGTAAAAATATAATGGTTATGTTTCCTAATAAATACCCTACCGATCTGAAGTGACATTTTTTTTATTCTTGTATTTTCGCGGTCAGCTTTGGTGCCAACAACAAAACCTAACTTTAAACTGATCGATTTTGAAATTTCTTTATTAACAAAGTTACACGTAAATGTTTTACAATTAACATTCGTTCTTATATCTAGTGTTATTTTTAGACTAAGTAACGTCTTTAACTCTGTCGTGCTTATAATATTAACAGTAAGTATCTTTGAAATTCATATAGACTTACTTTTCTTATCGTAAGCACGGCAGGACTTCAGACTGAAAAGTAGGGAAGTTTCTAGCAAAAAAAAATTGATTTTCGATTTGTGACACTATTAAAGCCGGTGTGCGATACGTTTTGAATTTGTTATAGTTTATTTCTGAACAATGGAGCTGATTTAGCAAACTGAGATGTGTTTTAATGAAGTAGTTTGTAACTAAATTCCTTTTAAAACGATTTGCAACTCCAAGAATTCTCCAGCTTATAAGACAGTTCCAAATAAAATCGGATTTTGCCTCATTTTTTCGAAAATATTTCAATTTGTTCAACTAAACATTGTAAAGATAATATTTTAAAAGGCAACACTAAAAATGTTAACATTAAACGGACAAAACTGAAAGAACGTGAAATAAAAGTAGTCGAGTTGAAAATTCGGCCTCAATACATGGTTATTTTTAATGAACTCGAAACCTACTAACTTGACATTAAAAACTTCTTTTGTTTCTCAATGTTGGAATTAATTTGTTTTTATTCTTCCCATATAGGTAATTCGTCTATACTTATATTTAGAGGAAACCTAAAAAGGTTGAATAATGATATGATAACAATGTTCATATGAATCAATGGCCACATAAACCAGAACATTTAATTTGAAAAAAGAATGCTCTGGTACATTATGTGGCCAGTCATTCATATGATTCAATCTTTTTTTAGCATTCTTCTAAATGTAATGTCCATGACTAGGTATATATACGTATACAATAAAAAACTGCGTGAATTAATACTATTGGAAATTATAATGGAACTAACGTTGGTTTTCATAGTAAGTCAAGAATTTTCGCATTCATATAAAGTAACTGTGTATAAAGGATGTGTTAAAATCTTAGCTTATTTTCAATTACACTTGAAAAATTTGTGATTTTGTACTTGATTTATTGCGATATGTTTATGTATGTGAATCCCATTGTTTAGTGAAAATGATTATGGAAAAATACGAATCAAATGAACAGCTCTTGAATAGAGTGAGTGTATCAATGTTTGACTGAAGACTGATATAGTTTTACTGTTCTTGTTGTTACTGTAGATATAAATCAATGTTACAAGTTTCAAAACAATGACCACTAGAGGTTCTTCTTAACATTTTTTTTAATTTGTTTATGCATACTTTTATGTATGCTATAATTTTTCATTCAGCTTTCAAACCCTATTCTGTTGGCGTTTTTATAAAACTAATTTATTGTACCAACAACGCCATGTGTTGTTTCGTCTACTTAAAACATCACTACCAGTTAAAAGCTATACACATTCAAAATAGTCGTTTAAAACAACTATGAAGCCGGAAATCGTAAAATTAAGTTAAAATCTAAAGTACAATGGCTAAAGATTGCTGTCCCAATTTAATACATTTATTTGCAACAAAATTTCTATTACTTTTAAGACGTATGTTAGGGGAAACCGTGATTTGAGTAACGTAAGAATTTTATTTTTAAACTAATAGCTTTATTTCTACAATCGAAAACGCAGTACTGAAGCAAAAAACTTAGAACCATCCTTAATATAAAAAAAATCTAGATTTGTAAGGAACCTCTCAATTTCCCCTAACAACGTAATATATATTATATTGTATATATATACAATACTTTCAATTAGTTTTAGTGAAACGCTCAACAGAATTGACGCCAATCATTTGCCGACACGACCCTAGAGAAATCATATTATTAGGTCATTGTCACAAATATAAAGTTACAAGTACCTTAACCTGGCAGTAAATATTCAGAACTTATGCTACCCCTATACATTATTGCATCTAGTTGCGCCGTCATACTCGATGGGCATAAAATGTGTGCGGAAAGCTATTTAGCAGAAAACTGCTACTTTTGACTGTCACAAATTATAACGCATTATTTGATAGGGTTATGGATATTTGGATGTTGTTTTACGTGGTCTTAAAACGATCGTAAAAAAACGCTTAGCATGCGAGTAATCCAGTTCCGTGTAATAAATAAATAGACCAGATAATTACCTCAAACAGGGGAATTTCGTGTAGTAAGTGATACTCACTATAGTGAAATCAAATCCACTACCCATAGCACTCAGATAAAGAGCATTGCCACACGGGCGTTTCGTCGGCGTTGAATCGACGCTGCGTTGTACCCGACATGCCACATGGTGCGTTGAAACGACGCAAACAACTATTACGTCGAAATTATAGCGTTGCGACGACGTCATGTCCATGCGGCAACGCTCAAACTCCAAATACCACGTATGGCGCCCAGATTTCTAACCGCTGGTTTACCCAGATTGACTTATTATCTGCTGGATGTGTCCCAGCCTAAATTCTGAAAATATTTGACCAGGCTTAAACGACCATTTAACTGTTTTACAATGGCCACATTATTTTTTATTTAGTTAGTTTCAAACGTCATTGATTAAATTTGTTGTGGAAAGCTGTTTGTATTTAATTCTGTGCTGTGACAGTAAAACTAATAAGAAGATGGGAATTCATAAATTTCTATTTTTTAATCAAATTGTTTTATTAAAAAAAAAGTGAAAGATTGTTTTCAAAAAGAGAAAGTAATTTGTATTGCTAAATAATTTGTGTGGAATGGAAAGATTAGAAATAAAGAATCGATTACGAATGATTTTGTATTCATTATCTCGATCTAGCCCAACAACACTTTCTGTATCTATCTTTGGTTGGTCACTATTGAGGATACTTCGTGGTGGATAGTCTCCAAGTTTCCGGTTCGTGGTCGCCCTCACTGCCTGGTAGACAACCAGTTGTGTGGAATGGAAAGATTATAAATAAAGAATCGATTACTTTTTTGGGTTGGTCCTTGCCTGGTTTAGATTTGGCTAATCTATATCGAGCATAGTTAAGGGTAGAAGAGCATATAGTGGATCACCAACAAGATAGTTTGAAAAAAGCTACATCCTTTACTGGTTGTCTACCAGGCAGTGAGGGCGACCACGAACCGGAAACTTAGGTCTCCAAAACCAGGCAAAGACCAACCCAAAAAAATTATATACGATGAATTGTGTGCTCACTATCTTCAAAAATTTATATAAAGCAGAATAGATATGATACATAAATAGATATCGCGGAAAAAAACGCTTTTTAATATATTACTATGTATATTTTCATTAACAAACCCCTATCTATATACACCTTATTACTGAAATACATATTTAGTTAATTAATAGGTAACATCAAAAAAAAGGAAGTATTCACTTGAGTTTTTTACAATTTGTACAGAACAATTGCATATATATGCAAAGCATACTATGCATTTCATTTTGTATGCAATTATAAAATTAAATCACTCATTCTAAAGAAAGGTGCCTCTTCGATGTAGTTTAAGAATATTGTCTTAAAAGTTAAATGTTTGGCTTGTTTTTAAATATACACATAAATTCGGTCCATGAACTATAAAATTGTGAAATTTGTACATCGAAGACAAGAAAAATGAAAATCAAGAGTATTTTAAAATATACATACACTCTGGAGCACAGCCTTCGTTAACTTGTCAAGAGCACATGGGTGCGTTCACATAAGTTTTCATGACTATCAAACATATCCAGGTGTTGTGTACTATAATTGTAAGGTGATACTTAAAACATTAGAGGCCCTTGGAGGACCACACACGTATGGCGTATCAGTTTAATTTAATTCCGTTAGTTTCACCAACCACTGTAATTAATGACAAATTTAAAAAAGCACTTCCCATTGCACAGTGTGTTATAGAGGTCATTTTTCGGACATGGCTTTTTATTGCAAAAACCTACAAATCTAGTGATTTAAAACAGAGTAGAACTCCCGAGTGACAAATTTGCTTAGTTATGGTAAAAATAATTTTGAAATTTACATAATTTTTATCCAGATTAATTGAAAAAAAAAATAAAAAATAAATAAATCCTTGACTTAATTTAAAAACAATGCATAAAAGTGTCGTACATAGTTCGAAAGATCTTCATATCACCTCTTACACTTTCTTGAAACCTTGTAACTTTGTTAGGTTCGTAATAATACGTATTTTTAAATGTTTCGTTTTTATTTTTTTTTTCAAAATTTTTCGCCGTATTGGGAAAAGTTAATTACATCAACAGTGAGGTCTCATATTGTTTATTACCACATATTAACGTGGCGAATACCTCAAAATTCAGAATATAAGCGACTCGTAGTTGCAAGAAAAAAAGTTATTCTAAAGCAAGTAAGGAAAAACTTGGCTTGCGAACTAGTTCTCTCATCCTACATCTCTTAATAACACGGATTGGACTTACATGATCCTTAAATTCCGTGACATGGAACCGACTAAATGATAACTGTCGCAGTAAACGCGAGGTTCGATGAAATCGGTTAAGTTTCTGAACAGAATTAATGATGTCAATGTGGTACCCATGCGATGTATAACGGTGAGTTTTTAAAAATGATTTATGAACGGTGACAGGAGAGAAGCTACGGAGGAGGAGAGTATTTCAAGGTGAGAAAAGTGAACGAACTGGAAGGAGTGACATGGAATTTAAGGATCATGTAAGTCCAATCCGTGTTATTAAGAGATGTATGATGAGAGAACTAGTACGCATTAGTACAGAACTTGTAGAAAGAAGCTTCGATTGTTCCAATTGGGGTAATCGGAAATGAGCACTGGAACTCGTGGCACAAGAGAAGAAGGCAATAGCGCACGACAATGATTGTTCAGACAATTATAAAAATTAGAATAAACGCCAGCATGTACCAAGAAATCATCCCGAAGTGTGTTTCTACCTGGGTGCTGGTTATTGTGTTGTGGTAGCCGATTTGGGATGTAATTCGTGAAGTTTGTGGCTCCGGTTTAGAAGCTTGGGAGTTACATATTTTAACTGATGCACACAATGTCAGTAAACGCGTATTTCAATCACTTATTGTCCGATATCATTTTTATTTAATTTGCAATATAAGTCGCGGCGCGAGCGGCAGAGCCCAAATATGGCAAGGTCGCCATGTAAGTATGGGAGCTGGTGGCGATGAGTGAAACGAGCGAAAGCTGGTATAACACTGATTTATTGAGAATAGTTCGAGTATACATATAGTACGCATAGGTCTACACTACACCCCATTCATTCCAAGGAAATGACTGGAGGCTGAGAAACCTGATGTTGGTACGGGCAAACTGTAACAGGTGGTTATGGAGGCTTGTAGGGGAAAAATCCATGTCAGAAATAAGTAACATTAAAATTACTGAATCTCAACCTTCATCTGGCGGTGTACATACATTAAGAATCTCTTGTTGTTATATCCGAATATTCTCAGGTGTGCAACTCTTGTAGTTCATATTTATTAGAAATACCCTGATGTAGCGACGACGACTTTATTAACGATGCAGTCGCTAATCGCCTTCCTTTACACATATGCTCGACTTTAAGCAACGATGCAAACGCGATGCACGTTTTTAATTATCTCATTTATTTATTTTATGTATTTTACTTTTAAATTTACAATGACAAAACAATGGGCATAAACCTATACAGATTTTTCGTAACAATTCAACATAAGCGACTGCATCGACGCCGTCACGCGTTTGTGTCGATGCAGTCGCACGCCTTTAAGTGCGACAATACACGTCCGTTTTTTCCTTCCGATAGTCTGATCCGACTACCGGAAGGCGCTCGTACCATATAATTGTATGATCACTCAATACACGTCCGATCCGATAATCGGATCCGATCCGACAATCTGATCGGACATGACGTCACGTCCGAGTCGGAAATAGCGTCCGATTGTCTGAAGGCGCGCTCTCTATACTTTTCCGGGGAGACGAAATACACGTCCGATTCTTCCCTCCGATTTACAGCGTTGCCAATGCAAGTTATTCAAAATCCCCATAAATCAAGGTTATAAATTTGGGGAGAGCAATGGTCATAATTCCATTCCCACATGTATTTATTATATTATTATTGTTACGCTTAAAAATATATCAAATAATTAAGAAAGTCAAAATGTACCCTATATCTACTACTATATCTATTACATATACGTTATGCTATAATCAGAAATAAACTCAACAAGTTGAATTAAGTTTAAACCTTACTAATTAAACTTGACGAGTGGCAAGTTGTGGTATTAAGGTCTATCCATACATATCCAAGCCGTGCCCGGGACGTGGACGGGCCGTGCTCCGTCAGGGGCTCAAAAAGATATCGTTGCGTTTATTTTGTATGAACTTGTTCACACATGTCCGTGTCCGGGCCGGCGCCGGGACGGACGGATACGCTCCGTCCACGTTCCGGGCACGGCCCTGATGTGTGTGGATAGTCCTTTAAAATACCTACTGCTCGGCTTTGTTCGGCAACAGCTGTATTCTTTTTTCACACCGGGGGCGAATGAAGCTTCATACTTGATACTTGTTTTTTAATTTTGTCGAATATTACTTATTTGACAGTAACTGTTTCGGACGGATGTCAGACGGAGATCGAGAGTAGGCCCCCTGATGTAAGAATTGGACGCCTATCGGACGTGTATTGAGTGAATCCGATCCGGTAGTCGGATCCGACTATCAGACACGAAATCGGACGTGTATTACCGCACTAAATCGCAAGTGAAGCGAAGCAATCGCGCGTTTCAGTTTACGTCGCTACTAAAAGTCGCTATGTGTAACCGCTCTTTATTCGACTCAATCTGAAATACTCGATTATGGCACACACTAGATGGTCGTGTGAAACTAGTAAAATATCCAAAATCTATAAGTCTGAACACAGCCAATACATTTTTTAGTTCATGGACACGGTATTCAAATTATGTACATGATTATGAGATCTTATCTGTCGTCGTCGTCGTCCTCGTTCCCATCGTCACGTCGACGCCAGTCAAAGCCTCCGGGGCGAATGTTAGCGAGTTCCGGTAGCGGAACGTAGTCAGGCTCTTCTGGAGGTGGGTCGAATAGTTTCTTGCTGCAAATTGAATGATATTGAAAAAAAGACGTGAAAGATGGTTAAATCATGATGGTACATCAAGAATGTAGTAAATGGACATTCAATACATTGTACACAGGTTGACAGGTAAAAAACTCAAATATTTAAAAAAGTTGCCCAATTTCACAAACAATAAAAATTTATAGAGAATTGTTAAAATTTCATAACAATTATTTAATTGTATAAGAATGTGAATTAACAAATTGTTTAAAAAATGTTATGACACCACCCTTACAGGAACATGGGTGTCTTCAACAGCTTTGACCCTCCTCTCTGTCTTGGCAAAACATCCTCCATGAAAAAGTATATGTGTCCAATTGCCATGCCCACTAAATCCACCGATATTGCATTGCCAAGAAGAACAGAGAAACCGAGTAACACCCACGGCAAGTATGGTGCCTGAAATTAAAATCGCACTTGATGTTGTCATGTTTTTTGTTTAACCTCACTATGAGAAAAATTATAAGATAGTAAGTAACTGAAAATTAAGAAACAATAAATTAGGTATTCTTATCCTATGTCATTCCAGTTATAAGTTTGGATGGAAAAAGAGCTTAGCATGAACTAGGACATAATTTCTTAAATAAATTGCATAACATATACAATAAGGTAAGATGAGGTAAAGATTATCCATTTCATTGTTTACTCAAGCATATGATGAAACATCCTAATGGTTTAATGGCTTGCACCACAGACATATGTATATCTAGCTTGCACGCACGCGGTCTCGTACATGCATACATATGGATATTGAATTGACTGCCTTTTAAATTACTCCCACAATAATTGTATAATAAAATAAAGAAAAATAAAATCTTATTCAGTTGTTAACTTTTTCGCATAGGAATATAAACTATGACATTTTGATTTAAATCGTGTCTATTTGATTTTCAAACAACACAGTAAAGGGCGCGAAATGTTGGTTTCTTTGAAAAATATAAATATATACAGGGTGTAAATTTGAGATGGGGCAGCAAGGCAGCTACCTTAATCGTTTTTGTTACAGGAAAACGGTTCTAGAAGACTATCCATGAATTTTGAAGATATTTTGATTGGAATTCACAAATTTTGAAAAAATGGCTCAGTCAACAAGATAAAAGGCAATTTTTACATAACTTTTTTTATGCCATTCGGTCCGGTTTCTGGTAAGGATCTATAGTTTCTATGGGACCAACTGAGGTAAGAGTACTTCAAATGTCAGAAATCGGAAAAAACTTTTTACCATATATTTTGTAGGGACATATTTAGTAATCAGTTATTCTAGGTAGTTATTCCGCAAAGAACAAGTAGCGGCTGAAATTCTACTTTCTAAATTGAAATTATTTGGATGGATTCCATTGAAAATTGCTGCAAGTGCGTCTTTCAATTCTTGAACACTGTTGTATTTTTTTGTTATAAATTTCATTTTTTACATGGCCCCAAAGAAAAAATCAAGGGGCGTAGGATCAGGACTGCGCGGTGGCCATTTGATAGGACCATGTGTTCCAATTAATTTGTTTCCACACTTGAGAACATTTTGATTAAAAATCGTCTTAATAGTGACAATTCTCTATTAACAAAACAAAACAAAGCTGCTCCTAATTTAAAAAATGTGATATGATCATAATTTGGTTTTACTGAAGTCTTAATTGTATAATGGTCAGTTTCGTTTGTAACAAAAACTTTTCATATAAAATGTGTGGTAAAAGGTTTTTTACGATTTCTGACATTTCTAGTACTCTTACCTCAATTGGTCCCATAGAGACTATTGATTCTCACAAGAGACCGGATCGAATGGCATAAAAAAAAGGTTTTGTAAAAATTGCCTTTTATCTTGCTTTTTCAAAATCTGTGAATGCCAATCAAAATATCTTCAAAGTTCATGGATAGTCTTCTAGAACCGTTTTCCTGTAACTACAACGATTAAGGTAGCTGGTATTGCTGTCCCGTCTCAAATATACACCCTGTATATGCAATCTTCATTTTCTAAATAAAATCTTAAATAAAGAACTTATTCAACCAAAAGGTAGAGATAGGTAGTCCTTAGACAAAGCCAATTATGTATCAATATGTGATATTTGTATACAAGTGTGATGAGGTTGTAGAGTTGACCCAAAGATCCAAAGCATAACAATTACTGACAAATTATAAAACAAAAATTCATTGTTTCCAACTTAGATAAAAGCATAGAAATATTTACATACATAGTAATGATAAGCAAATATTTTTATAAAACCTATACCTGGAAGTTCATTAATCCAAAGAAGTTCATGCGCACATACACATTCCTGCGGGACCAGACGTAAACAATCATGATTGTAAAAGCTTGTCCTAAAAATAGCAGATTGACAAAGAAAGCACATAACTGTTCCAGTAATTAAGGAAATTAGTTTGGCAATAAGAACTAAGTACATGGTTACGTGTGTTCATTATTGTAAATAATTATGACAACATTCAATCATTGATAAATTCTTTTTAGATTGTAACCATTGTAACTATATTTTTATCATAATATATTACCATTTTCGATTATGCGATGCTATTTTAATTTGAATAGTGTACATATGTATTTTTATTATGCAAGTATTTTTATTGAAGCATAATAATATACCGCATTGATGTAGCCTAAGACAAACAATTCGGTTTGTTTTTAACCGATTTCAAAAAAGAAGGAGGTTCTCAATTCAACTGTTTCATTTTCGTATATATGTTATGCTATTACTCCGACATTTGTGAGCCAATTTTGATGATTTTTTTGTTAGAAAGGGGGTACCTCAGTAGTGTCCCCAATCATATTTGAAGAAAATATTCCACCTCTAAAGGTGACAAATTAGGGTATGAATCCGGTGTATTGGACTTCACCCACTTTCCATTAACCGATTTCAATAAAACTTGGCAAACAGACATAATTCCACAAACTTTTGAGGTTGGTTTTTTTTTTTTAAATTTACAATTACTCAAAGATTGTTTAAAAGTTCATTGGCCTACTGACCTATTCAAAGTATGATTTGGGTAAACTTTAGTAAAATTAAAGTACAAGAAATAAATAAAGGTTTTTGTTTATAATCTTCACGAAACAAAACAATAACATCTTTTCCTTAACCTATGATGTGTCCACATACAACTGTTACAGAAACACCTTAAGGATTTTGATGCTGTAGTGTCCTAAAGCCACATATTGACTAATGTACAGCTGTGTTTTCATACACCATTAAAAATTTATAAAAGGTTTACCAAAGTGGACACACATGTCAGTGGGATGAGTAACATGTTAACTCTACAGACTAAATTATGAGTATTTGTGTTTATTGTATATGTTAGTTTAAACAGTCGTAAAAGGATACAATCATCAGAAATCCTCCAAACATGAACATGACAACAAAATCAGCTGTCCGTCCTCGGAACGAACCCTCTTCCAGCATTCTACAATATTTGTATGTAAATATCATGTTGAAGAAAAAATTGAAGCCTAGATTCCCAAAGAAGAGGAATGTAGTGATCAGCCTCCATAGTTGGTACTTCTTCACTATCAGGATTGGGTTGAAGTACAATTGGAATGGTGACACGAGGTCAAGTTGCTGCAAAAATAGAGTAAATAAAGGTCAATTTACACTAGAAGATTGGCAGTTGGTGTGCATAATCTACAGCTGTAGTAATCGGTCAACGTACAGCAGTTCTACTGCAAATATGATAGGAATAATTTTATATTAGTGTTCACACCAACAAATGTCACAAATACCCTAAACAACAACTCATTTTTATTTGTAAAATCCAGTTTTTATTGAATATCAGGATGTTTCACCACCATAATATTCAATTATTTTTTGTGAAATTACTCCACTAATTTGTTATAATTATTAAATACAAACATCAAACACTTAGAAAACATTTTTTCGATCCGGCTGGATTTCAACCCATGTCTTCTAGCACCAAATGCTATGCCAACTAAGCTACAAACCAGCGAACCTTATGAATTTTTCTATGTATGATTTTTTACTTATATTGTGTTGTAGCACCATCTGTGAGAAATGTATCTGCGTTGGCAAAGCATCTCACACTGTTTGCTAGAAGACATTGGTTCGTTCCAGCTGGATTGAATGAATAATTTTTATTTATTTGTTTATTTCTAACATATTTGTTGTGACTCATCATCTGCATCAGGGTTGATTACTATTATCTACTTCTTTGTATCCTTATTATTTACATTGCACTATAGTATTTAAAATTATGTAAACAATTGAATCTTGGAGCTTACTTCAATGCTACTGATTTACTTATAACAGAAAGCACATTTCTGTTTTAGGCACCTATATCTTTACTTTAGTTAGATAACAACACTAAAGGGCCTTATCACAAAGAGGAAATTTAAAAAGTACCAATTTTTATTAAATCACATTTAATTACAATGTCTCTAACTTCACATAATTATCTAACACTATGATTCTATTTTGTATTGTATTCGTTGTGTTGGTATAACATTGGAGTATGCAGACTTTGCAAACAAAACTGGAAGTTAAAGTGCCACTATATTTTTAGAAATTAATACATTTTGCTCATTATTTCGAATGTTCGTAACTTAACATGTTCCCTGTGCATGCATCATATGTGATGCATTTCGAGGTCCAAACGACACGTGAGTGCACCACATATGAGACACGACCCTTTGTAAATTTAAAAGTTTTTCAAAATTTGCACGTGTAAGCTAGATTATCTTTATTTGCTTGCACGTATGGACCACAAAAATTGTGACAATAAGCAAGTGGTACCGGATGACTTTTTAACCAATGTTGCCAGATTATTACTATCAAAATAAATCACGAAAAATATTTATTATTTTTTTATTACAAGTTAGAAAGGTCTAATTATTGACTTGCGTATACGGCACATGATAATAAAAACCAAACAATAATCAAATAAAGAATGTCATAAAACCCAAGAATCAAAAATTGTCTGGTAAGCACAACTAAAATCATTATTTAATGGCTAGCATTGTAGCAATGAAGGCACAATGCTTTTTTACACATTTTACACGAGCTTCTGTAGGTGTGTTGCCTTGTTCAGTCATAATTTTGTAGCAACCAACACAACGCTTTCTGGAAATTTTGGTAGCACATCGGCGTGGGATTTTGGTCAATTCATGGCGGGACAAGTTAGATGTCATTGATGGCCCAGCTAACGGCTCAGCATCTTCAATTTCCAGGAGATGACTGATAATTATTTCATGACCTGTCAGCAGTGTCATTTTATTATTTCGATGGAGGTCCTTGTAGATCAAAATTGCATTTACAACAGCTACCGACATCAGATCACCCGCAATTTTTTTGTATCAAAAACAAGTTTTGCGAACGGGCGAATTGTAACTTGCGAGCTGATCAGCTATATCAATGCCCTTCTTGCCGCGATTGTAATCTAATACAATTTTAGGTTTCATGATTGGCCTGAAACCAGTGGACATTGCCATTTGATGATCATGACATGTTGATAAAACCAAAACTTTGTCAAACACTTAGATAACTATATAACTCGTAACACTTTATAATAAACTTTCACTAACTTTTTCTATCTTTTCACGGTATAGACTACAGATATTTAACTAAAACATCTGTCAAAATGACTCTAAGCGTGCATGAATTATATGTGATGCATTAAGTAAACAACTAGTACGTGCATGCACCATATATGTGGCATCAAGTAAAGAGCTCATACGTGCGTGTATCATATATGGGGCACTCGGGAAAAATTAGATAATGGAAAGGGAGTTTATGAAAATGAATTTTCTATCCATAAATGTATTAATATATATCAATTCCGACATATTTGCAAAAAAAAAAAATTGCACGTGAGGGGTCAATTTTTGATTTCTAGTTCCACAGGGAACGTGTTAAGACACAATATTAATATCTGATATATTATTGAAAAAAAAAGAGTATAATAAAGTTCTAGTATACTTACAACCGCCAAAGTAGTGATAACGCAGGCTGTGGTATATGCCCTGGTGACGGGCGGAAAAAGCATGTATTCCTGAAGAAGCGTCTGATATGCCATTTTGGATACACTCACTAGAGAACACACAATTAACACTAAAATCTAATTTGCTATATAAAATCACAGTTCGACTCTTTATGATTGGGCCACATCATATTTTAACACGAACAGCTCAATTACTAAAACGGACTTTGCATGGAGCGCAACAATCTATACAAGACTGTAATTACGACTGCTCTCGCGATAGTTTTGATTATAGTTCAGGGAATTTCTCTCTTTTCAGTATTTTCTATCGAATTCGCAAAAATAAATTAAGCAAAATAGAGCACAGCTATGTACGAGAAATGGAGAAATGTCAAATTGTAAAAAAAAAATTGCGTGTTCCAATGGGATCGGTATGTTCGTTATATTTGTTTTGACAGCGAATTATTAGAACATGGCGGTTTCTGTTCTAAGGACTGGTGCAGAGTACCTGTGATGTTGCTCAACTTCAATCTTACCGACTCGCAAAGATTTGTTTCAACGTGTAAAGAGTGTATGATCTATGGTGTAAACTAAAGGAGTTAGTGCAGCGTTATCGTGATAAGTGACAAGTGTTTTTGAAACTTGCATTTTTCTGATACTTCGTTGACAGATACACAGAATTTTACAACTATAAAAGTTGTGATTATATTATTGATTTCCACTGTAGGTATGTTAATTATTCTGAAATTCACGACGTCAGATAAAGGTTTGTACAATACTAATACCAAAGGTTTGCTGAATTGTAAACAGCTGTCGATTAGTCGCCAGTGATAGCTCTTCGAAGTTTATTAAAAACAAAATAGTAAGTAGTAGTAAGTAATTGTTTGTTAATTTCGTGAACATTCATAAATTACCCAATATGAACGCTGCACTGTTTCCTCGCTAGAAGGCTCAACTCACACTGGCGCAGAGTCGAAGCGTCGCGTCGCGTCCTGTTTTTCAACTACAAGACGCTCGATTTTAACCAAGCGTCAACGCGCGAAGGCAAATATGGATGGATACGTTATGCAAATATGGAATTTTTGGGTTTCATATTTGCATAACACTGATTTGTACCGTAAAATAGAGATGAATATGCTATAAGCGAACAACATGACGCGTCGCGTCGCGATGCTTTGACTCTGCGCCAGTGAGAGTTGAACCTAAGTCACGGAGTCATTGCGACCGAACATAGATCATCGACTTTAACCAAGCGTCGACGCGCGAAGGCGCGAGTCGTCACGCAATTCCATATTTGCTTAACACTAATTTGTACCTTAAAATAGAGGTTAATATGCGATAGGCGATAAACATGACGCGTCGCGTCGCGAGACGTTTTGACTCTGCGTCAGTGTGAGTTGAGCCTAAGTCACGAAATAATGCGACCGAACATAGATCATTGACTTTAACCAAGCGTCGACGCGCGAAGGCACGCGTCGTCGCGCGATTTCATATTTGCATGACACTAATTTGTACCGTAAAATAAAGATGAATATGCTGTAGGCGAAAAACAACGTGTCGCGTCCGGTCGCGACGCTATGACTGCGCTATGACTCTGCGCCAGTGTGAGTTGAGCCTGAGTCACGGAGTCATTGCGACCGAACATAGACTATACACTCTATAAAGTCGCACGATTTCGCTAGCACGCTGTAGGAGCCCTATATAATAAAGGATGAAAAAAATGGATGGAAAAAAAATAAATATAATAGCTCTTTTCTCTTTTTTGCACAACATATGACACTTATTATTAGACCAACTCACCAAACCATACCAAAAGTTAAAAAAATGGCGGATTGTCTTTCTAATTTATTTATGGGTTACTGGGTTGTGAAGACGAAGAATAATTTTATGAACGTCTGAAATATTGGTATTTCGTCATATAATCTCTAATTAATGTGGGCTTAATCAAAATAATAATGTTTGTCTTTTCAGAACGAATATGAAAAAGATTAAGAATCAAACCTCTGCAGTGGTGTAAACTTGACCAATCTTCGATAAGTATTCTGTAATCTACGGCACCATGGATACCAAAGAAGTAGTTGAACATTTGGTGGCCTTAAAAGTTATGAGATTAACGAAGCCTGCATTAATAAGTCCTAAAATCGTAACTTGCGACTCTAAAGATCTACCAGGTAACATTCTGAATAATTATTTGAAGGATGACGCCACGGCAGTTACTCAAATGGAAACTCTTGCCGCGGGACAGTTCCTGCTACTCCCGCAAAGTTTCGGCAATATCTATTTGGGAGAAACCTTCTCGTGTTATGTTTGCGTTCACAATGAAACAAATCAACCTGTACAAAGTGTCTCTATTAAAGCAGATTTACAAACAAATTATCAAAGAATACCATTAACAACTCAGCAAAACCAGTCTCCCATCATGTTAGATGTTGATGAGACATTAAGTGACGTTATACACCATGAAGTTAAAGATTTGGGAACCCACATTTTAGTATGCGAAGTTACATACATGTCTAACTATAATACATTGGCTTCATTTAGGAAGTTTTTTAAGTTTGAAGTCATGAAACCGCTGGATGTAAAAACAAAGTTTTACAATGCTGAATCAGAAGATGTTTATCTTGAAGCTCAAGTGCAGAATATCACTTCAGGTCCAATTACTTTGGAGCAAGTTTCCCTTGAAAGTTCTCAGCAGTTTTCAGTACGGTCCCTCAATGAAATCAATGACAATGTTTCTGTTTTTGGTAATGTTACCTTGCTACAACCCCAAGAAAGCTGTCAGTATTTATACTGTCTCACACCAAGAGAGAGCATTTCTAAGGAAATAAAGCTATTGGCTGCTGCTAAGAATATCGGAAAGTTGGATATTGTTTGGAGATCTAATTTAGGTGAAAAGGGCAGATTGCAAACCAGTCAGTTGCAGAGAATGACTCCTGATTATGGAGATTTAAGAGTTACTTATGAGCAGTTGCCTAGTAAAGTAACCTTAGATGAACCATTTGACTTCAGATGCAAGATTACCAATGCAAGTGAGAGGACATTAGACTTAATCTTAAAGCTCCGATCTCTTCAAGATTCTTGTTTGCTTTGGTGCGGAGTTTCTAATAGAAAGTTAGGTCCTTTGGAGTCAGGAAATTCCATTACTGTGACATTGACTGCCTTGCCTATTAATACAGGCCTTCATGATATTGCTGGAGTATCCCTGGTTGATTTGTTCCTGAAGAGAACTTATGATTATGATGATTTGGCGTCAGTTTATGTGTGTTAGTTTTAATTCTACATACTGGACTATCTGTAGAATAATAAAGTATTTTAGGTCATACCATTTCCAATTACAATATTTATGAAGCATCCACCTTATATTTTTTTGTAAAATATTACTTCTACGTTTTTACCCTTTTAAATAAAATAAAATCGGTTTTTAACAAATTTCTAAATTTAAAATAAATCAGTCTCCTGTGATAATAATAATACTATTGCTAATACAGCAATACTTAATATAGCTGCTAAAAATGCCTTATAATTTTCAAATATATTTATATTTGAAAAAGGAAAACTGACATTTATCTGATGTACTTGGTGCAACGGGCTGTTATCCAATGTAAATTAAATTAATAAATAGAATAAATGTGATCGATTCATTGCACATTTTGTAGGGAGGAGGCATATAAAATTTCTGTTTTTTTTTCATGCAAAAACAATGACATGAATGTGCTAACATTTATTTTGCTGCAAAGGCTCAAAGGCATTGAAATGGAACACGCTACGCGTTTCCTCGCGGGTGGGGATATGACGTCACAGCCATAGCTTAGCTTGAGAATATTGGAGATATGGAGATCATAATCTGACTTAAATACTATCAAGTAAATAAATCACGTTGCGTGTAGTGTTGAGTCATGAAAAAAGTTCTATTTAAAAAAAATAATATTTTTCACGAAAATGAATAATCTTTTGCAAAAATTTGACTTTTGAGAGTCGTATTCTAGAACTCTACTCAATGCTCATGTCAGGATTTGAGCAGACTTGAGTGAGAAAATCATACTCATCATATTTTCACTAAAGAAATATATTGTGTTATCATAGTTCTCATTTAAAAGTGTTATTTTGTACAGTTTTATCGTATTTAATTTATATATAAATGAATCGTAAAAATAAATTACAAACGCACACAAAATAATCAAATAGCTAACTGTCCTTTTTCTACACATTGTATGCGCAAAAGATGAATAGAGACCCATTGCGTCAATTTCAAGAAACTTATATAAACTTTTTGGTCATTTTCAATTGTTCGAACCACAAGCGATTGAAATATTTAGAACAAAGAAACTATGAAGTCGCTTTGATTTTAATCTTATTTAATAAAATATTTTTTATTAATGACCTTTAATTCGAGCTAACGAAATAAAATGTCAAATGTACTTTTTTAGGAAGATTACAAAACTAAACCAAATCGGTTTTCGGAATTACGGTTTACGTTTAGTTGGAATATCAGTACATTTCGTATAGTACACGCTTACTTTCACATTTGTAGTATTCTTTGTATGTTTGTATCTGCCCAACTCTTTATTATTTATTTAAGTGAATTTGCACAACATTCGACATAATAGTATATATAAAAATTAATTAATATTTACAATAACGGCTACTCCATTTTTCTTGTGTCCAAGTAATTTTCAGTCCAAGCTAAATATGGTGCATTTTGTTAAATTTCCAGTAGAAGCTGAATATGGTGTTTTTGGGTCCTTAAATTGTTATAAGCAAAATTAGGCAGTACTGCAATGACGTTACAATTTAAATTAAATTTTTAGTTTTTTTATATTTCGTTACATGTCACTATGTGTATAAATTAACTTCGGACATTTTTTTCGTGGTTTTTGTATTAGACCCGACGACGTCCATTTGTTGGTAGGTTAATGATCTAAACGTAGAACATAATATTATTCATAATTTTTTACGGAATATCCATTCCACACCATTTGCGTGTGTATTTCAGAAGAGATCATATGAGACCGAATGCCTGTGATATATTTCCGTGAAAAAATAAACTGAAAAAAAAAAGAAAAGAAACTATCTGTCACTGTCCTGTGTCATGAATGTCATCAAGTGTCATGTCATGTCATTTGATTAATCCAGAGGATTCATTAATCGTTTAATCGTTGTTGTGTTTCTAATTTGTGGTTGTTGTGTGCGGTTATTTTTTACTTAATCCTTCGAATTTCTTATATCTATTGCACAGAGGTTTTTACAGTATCTAATCCGACATTGTATTTAAAATGGTTCTTACAAAAGAATATAGAATTTGTATGCCGATTACAGTAGAAGAGGTAAGTAAACATTTAATATTTACTTACATTTAGAGTTTGTGTAGATTTAGTTTCGTACTTTTAGCATTTAGTTGGAACATTTTTGTTAATAACGAATTAGGCTTTAATTTAATTTAAATTCTTGACGTAAATTTGTTAATTCGATGGTTTAAAACAAGTAATTTTTTTTGTTCTCGCCTTGATTGTCACAGAATATGGATTTTCCTATTAAACACGCAACACGTTAATAAGTCTAAAATAACCTAATAATTAATAAATTTTTAAAAGTTATAACTAAACATTATAAAATTCCAGTAGTGAGAGCTATAAACAGTTCTAAATTTGAGTATGCTCCTAAACCATTGATTTCTTTTATCAATACTCTAAAATAATTAAGTAAATTCTTGTTAATAAAAATGAAAGTAAAGTAAAGTAAAATACCTTCCTACTCAACAAACCCAGAGTTTAAACTTTGCAAAACAGCTGCACTTATGTTGGCACCCGTAACACAGGTTTTTCTAGTGTGGGGCTATGTGGAGTGTGTGCGAGCGTGTGCGTTACTTATGTTGAATATTTTTTCCATGCAAGTTTGTTGTCCATCTACCCTCTCCATAAAATGTAAAATTTGACTAATTGTCATAATATAAATAATTGTTGATTTTACTGCACTGTTATTACAATAGTGTTGTAACAAAATATGTGAAATTCAATATTATTCTGTTGCTGAATGTAAAATTTGAATCTCTTCACATCAATACAACTGCCGTTTGAATATTGTGAGAAAGAATTTAAAGATATCTTTTTAACTCAAAATTTGACAAACTTTTTGTGAGCTAGTTCTGGACAAAATAATCCTGACTAAAAATATTTATGGCATTACCTGTTCCCTTTTATTTTTAAGTATATTTGGCACATAGAAAATAGTTTAAATGTCTGTAATAAACTTTAACTTATATATAAATTTTAATAATGTTTTATGAAGTGAGCTTTTCATTAATTAAAAAAAAACACACTTCAAGCTAACACACTATTGTATTAACAATGTGATCATTATTAAGTTATCAGTTTGTCACATCACCTTTCAATATTGATAAAGTACTACTTAATTGCTGGTATTCTTGTGTTAACAATGTCTACCTGGCTGTATCAGAGATTTATGCAAGATTTAGCATACACTTTACTTTTTCACACAATTACTTTTAGTATGATAGATATTTAGCACTATTCTCCTAATTCCAAGTTGGAAGAATATTCTTACACTCAATCACAACTTATTAAGTAAAGTTTTAAGTAGTAAGCCAAGCCACTTGATTGGTTGGTGGTCATTGTTGTACAAAGACATTTTTTTTAATGCACACACTCATAGCCACACACTAGAGAAATCCTGTGTTATGGGTGCCATGGACACACACATAGAAATTACACCCAAATTTGCGAGAGAAATAAATGGAGATCATACAAATATTTCACCCCACCCTGGAATCGAATCTGGGACCTCTACGTGGATGACCAGCATGATAACCGTTCGGCCACAGAGGCAATAAAAATTTGCAATACCAGAGGAGCTGATGTTGCAAATGTTTGATCCTATTTTGAGAATGTCCAATCAAAGTAAATTACACTTTAACACATGATCTAGAAAGTAATAATTAAGATTGTTCGATATCAGTTTCCCATTTATGGTTTCCAAAATACACACCCCCAAATTATGTAGTTTCTGACTAAAGACTGGTCAGTTTTCTAAACATTAAATATGTTCATTTGATGATATGATTAGGAAACTTTACAATTTTATTCTTCTGACATGTGATCAGTATGACGACTACATAGGGTGCACTATAAGTTTCTGGAACTGGCCACTTATATAAACAATATTTAAAAAGTAATTAAACATTTGAAAATGGAACTCTTTGGTTGTAGAATACAGTTTGTTTCATCTGACTGTCACTTGTTTTTACATTGTGCCGTCATTTTAGAAATTCTGTACCTCCAGTGTTTTTAACCGACTTCAAAAAAGGAGGATGTTCTCAATTCGACTGTATGCTTTTTTTGTATTTTTTTTGTATGTATGTTACGCGATAACTCCGGTATTTGTGAATCGATTTTCGTGGTTCTTCTTTTGTTGGAAAGGGGGTACTTCCATAGTGGTCCCATTTTATTTTGAAGAAAATCATTCACCCCTAAGGGTGGGTTTTTCCGCTTCCGAGAACCGATTTTTATTATCTCCAGTGTCAATTCCGGTATAGTGGCGAACTAGGGGATGAACAAATAGACGTAATTCCACGTACTTTTGAGGTCGGTTTTTTTAGTACTCTGTACTAAGATTATTGCACTACACGGTTAAACTCGAGTTTATCCAAAATGTGGATTTTGATACCATTGCGTGTTTTTCGTAATGCTACATCGTTTGCTTTGACAATTGTGGTTATGCGATCATTGGCTGTGAAGATAACGATTGTGCAAAGGGATTAATGTTAGCAAAAATTTGCAAGTAATTTAATCAAAATGGTTTATTTTTAATTACAAACACATTACAATCAACTTATTACTTACCCTTTATTCTATCTGAAAAGATTTGGAAAAATACTGTTTTTTTGTGAATGAGTGAGACAAAAACTGATTCAAAAAGAGCTTTCGCTCTCATGTAAAATAATATTTTTTGAGTTTAGCCTATTTACACTGGAGGTACAAAATTGGTTGTCTACATCACCATGGATTTAACTCGTTAAAATTTTCGTAGTATGATTTTCAACGACTTTAGGGGTCGTATTCTAGAACTCTACTCAATGCTCAAATCAGGACTTGAGCATGATTCAAAGCACTAGAAATCACACTCAAGTCCTTGCTATTAGGGTCGTATTTCCAGTGCTTGAAATCATACTCAAGTCTGCTCAAATCCTGACTTGAGCATTGAGTACAGTTCTGGAATATAAGAATACAAGAATACAAGATATTTACGACCCTAAGGGTTGTATTCCAGAACTCTACTCAATACTGAAGTCAGGAATTGAGTATTGCAGTGAGCACTGAAAATCATACTCAAGTCCTTGCCATTAGGGTCGTATTTCCAGTGCTTGAAATCATACTTAAGTCTGCTCAAATCCTGACTTGAGCATTGAGTAGAGTTCTGGAATACGACCCTAAGTGTAATCTAACAGCTCAGCGGAGCTTCGCTCGGCTTCAAACTGCTTTTGGCGATGAAGCACCGTGCAAGACGACTATTTATAGCTGGTTTGCAGAATTCAAACGTGGTCGTGTGAATCTCAGTGTCGAATTTTGTAATGGTCGCCCTTCCACTGCTGTGAACAACAAAATCGTCGATGCTGTGCGCCATATGATCAAAACAAACAGGCATGTGACATACCATGAGATTCGGGCATCTTTAGGCATAGGCATGAGTCAAATACAATCAATACTACACAAACATTTGGAATTTTGTGTGAAAAAGCTGTGCTCACGGTGGATCCTACATAATTTGACTGAGGCTCAAAAAACGGATCGCGTCATTTGGTGCAATGCCATGCTTACCAGATTCAACGAAAGGGCGTCAAATTTGGTGTAGGACATAGTAACAGATGACGGAACATGGATTTATAGTTACGACCCCAAAACAAAGCAGCAATCGAGCATATTTCGAGATGAGCCGAAACCAACCAAAGTAGCGCGCGTGGAAGGTGCCTCTAAGCGGATGTTTGCCGGAAGTTATTTTCAAACTCCGTAAAAATAACCGTAAACGCCGTATCATCTTGCACTACGATAATGCCAGTTCTCAACCGTCAGACAGGTAAATGAATTTTTGAAGGTGAACAACGTTAACTTTATGAGCCAGCCCGCGTACAGTCCCGACCTGGCACCTTGTGGCTTTTATTTATTTCCAAAAATTAAGAATCAGTTACGCGGTCAACGGTTTTCATCACCTGAAGAGGCTGTCGAAGAGTATGACGAATATATTTCTGAGATTGTCACGGACGAGTGACATAAATGTTTTCAAAATTGGTTCATTCGTATGAAAAAGTGCATTAACGCTAACAGAGAATATTTTGAGAAACAATAAATTCATTTCTGACCATTTATAGTATTTTTTCTTATTCTTTCCGGAAACTTATAGTGCACCTCACGTATAGCAGCTATTTCCCATGGGAGTTGGTGTTAGGCAATCTTCCTCAATGTGGGTTGCCTTTGCCAGTCACTAGGAATCGAATTCAAATTTTTACCCTAGATATGTTGTATGCCTTTGCGGGAGTGACTCGGTCAGATATGGTACCAATTCTAGGAAAAAGAAAGATTTCCTTATATTTGAATGATTTATCTATCGCATATTATTTTAATAAAAATTACTCCATGTAACTTAAAAATGATATGCAATAACATTTCCCAACAATTGCTACCTTGACCACACACCTAAGTTTGTATGGAAACTGGAAGAGACAGCAATTGTTACACACAAATGGCACAGCCAGGGAACTCTGTCCTCTATGAGTTTATAGAGTAATAAATGAAAATTATTGTCCACTCATATCACATAATCTCATATACATATTTAATATGCTTTTGACCCACTGGTTACCCAACTAGTGGCTTAGAAATTACTGGATTGTATTGGACAGAGGGTATGTTCCATATTCCATACTAATATTTTGCCATTTGCAAGATAAACATTATTGTATTTATCGAGTATTGTTATGCATTGGATATGAAACTATTTGTAAACTGACTGTCAGACGTGGCCATGGGACCTGTAAAAAACTCGAAACCTTGGTTTGTTTGAAAAAACAAATTTATGCGAATTTAGGTCTGAAATATAAATAGTGTCATTTTTGATTATTATATTTCTTAATTATTCTTCTTAGGGGAATCTGACTTTACGATAGATATTAGAGTGTTATATAAACATAACAATTTCAACTGTAATTAGTATTTCATTACTTAGAAATACTTTTAGAATTGAAGTTTTACAATAGAAACATTTAAATTTCAGTACCGTATTGGTCAGCTATACATGATAGCTCGTCATAGTTTTGAGCAGTCCAGTCACGGGGAGGGTGTTGAAGTAGTCGCCAATGAAGAGGTTAATGATGAGGTCAATGGAGTTGGCCAGTTTACTGAAAAGAGGATCCATTTGTCTAGGTAATCATATATAATAGGTAATGGCCACCTAGCTAAGTACTCTGTGGACATCCAACGTTGACCTGACAAACCTGATTGGTTGAAGTTCTGAGTAGTGTGGTCAGAATGTATTACTCTAGTACTCATAGTACAGCACATTCATACAGTGCTCTAGGGTCACACAAGCATCGTAATATGCAATGGTGCAACCACAGTAGATGGATAAAATGCCAGTGTCAATCGGACATTTAACAAAAAGTTGTTTTTTTATTTCGTTAAGAGTCGTACGTAGATTATTCTTTTTTTATATTTTGTCTTCCCATATCTATTGCTATACAAGCAAAAAAAAAAAAGAAATACAGGGAAAAGCCCCTAAGCATTATGGAAATATAATTTATCGAAAAGTTCGGCTATTTTTGTTATTGTATATGGACTAATATATTTTCCTTGTCTTATTCCAGTCACTTGCCATATTGGGTACAATCGATGATTCCGAAAATATTTTATGTTACGGAAAAGGCATGGAATTACTACCCTTATACTGTTACAGGTAAGTGTATTAGGGTTTAAAGTATCAAATTGCTGTTCTAAAGTTCTGGGCACTTTGATATTAAAAAAAGTATGTTTAATATTCAGATTAGAATGTTTTTTCAAATGATTATTTTAAGAAAGAAATGTTAAATCTTCTAAATTTAAAATAATTCGAGTAGGTTTTTAATACAACGTCAACTTTATCTTCTACAAGATAAGGTTACATTTTTTTTATAAAAAATGCGGCGCCGTGAGGTATAATTTTCTCTACAAAATAAATTATAACAAGATCCCTACCTAACGACGTATAGGTATGTAGCTATAACCAACGAACTGGGCGTTTTTGGTTCGTCCGATTTCACAGTGGAATGTTTAACCTGGCAAATTAGCTCCATGGTGGACCAGAGCTTATGTAAATAATGACCACTTGCGAGCACTACAGACAAATTTAGTAGCACAGTAATACTGACTGACGCGTTTGCGTATATATAGAGCGGCAGTTTTGTACTTCAACCCAAAGTATCGTTTTATTTAGAAAGTTTTAAAACCTTTGGTATTGTGTAAAGTGAAATATTTATTTTGCGACTTTTGAGTCCTCCCAGTTTCTTTTTCGATTGTTTTGAAATTTTATAGTTTAAAGCGCGCGGTAGGAAAAGCTGACAAACAACTTAACTGGCACCAAAATAGAGGTGCCAGTGGATCGTAGTAAAAAGTTGATACTTTATAATGATAATAATGCACACACTCAACATAGCCCTGCGTTAGGGAAACCCTGTGTCGCGGGTGCCATGGACACACACAGAGACAACCACAAATTACACCCAAACTCACGAGAGAAATAAATGCAGGCCATACAAATATTTCTCCCGGCCCGGGCATCGAACCCGGGACCTCTGCGTGGCAGTCCAGCCTGGTAACCGTTCGGCCACGGAAGCAGTAACTTTGACTTCAATGTTAATTAGATGGAGTTATAATTATTAATACAAAGATTGAACACAGAAAAGAACACAATTCACAAACTAGTGGAGTAATTTCACAAGAAGATAATTGAATATTATCAATACAGTAAAATATTGTGATATTCAATAAACTTCATATTACAGAAAAATTCCTACGATTTCACAGGACGAAGGAAATTCTTTGTATCTTTGTATTAATAATTATAACAAACTAGTGGAGTAATGTCACAAAAAATAAATGAATATCGTGGTAGTTAAAAATCATAATAATCATTACAATCAACATTAGGAGTTAGTTGTTGAAATACGGTAATCTGGCAAGGGGCTAAACTTGTTAGTTTTTACGAAATGATTTGTCAGTAGGTACTATGAACCTTCTGCATTTTTAATATAGTATTATGGTGAGTGTAGTAATATAGTAGTATGGTGAGTTTAATTTTTTTAGCAATATAAAAGTGTGATATTTTTTTTTTTCATGTTTCCTGCTCCAACATAGAATACACGGTAAGTGTACATACGTAATAATAATTTTTGTCTTCTTGTTGAATTAGAAAGTCGACGATTTTTAATAATTATTTCTATTTTCAGTGCTCCTTCATACCAAAGTTCTCCATATCCATACAAACACGATATGAAAATAACAATGGCACCACTGAAAACGTAAGTATTTTTATGTATTGGAAATGAAACTATTTTTTCGGATTTAAATCGCGTATATTTGTTTTTTCAAACGATTTCAGGAAACAAACCGACGTCTCGGTTAATAATAATAATAATATATAATAATTTCTATTAATATTTAATAATAAATTGAAATTAATAAAAATTCATTCAATAAAATAATTTGTAAAACTTAATGTAGCGTAAATTGGAACGTTTTCTTTGTAAAATTAAAAATAAGGTATTTAATTAATAACTATTGTAACTATAGTGTATATGTCAATATTAGATATAACTGGTTGAAGACTGTACCACTCAGTCAACCGTGACCATGGGACCTGTAAAGGGCCCGACACGTCGGTTTGTTTGAAAAAACAAATATACGCGATTTAAATCCGGAAAAATAGTTTCGTTTCCTATGTGTAACAATCGCGAAAACCTAAGAACTCGATATTTTTATGTATATATAAAAGCTGATCGAGTTCGACGCTTGCTACATCAGAACTTTAAATATGAACACTGGTATCAGATGTTAATACTAGTCGCTATCCCATTGTGAAAGTGAACTACATACAACAAATGACTGCCTAAGTAGCAGTAGAGCTCCTTGTGAGAGACTTCATCCAGGGAAGTACTGCCACCTTATCTATTTCTGCCGCTAAGCGGAAATGTCAGCATCATTGTGTTCCGGTTTTGAAGGATAACGGTGCTGGTGAAATTACAGGCACATGGGACTTGTCAATTTATGTCTCAGGGTGACGGGCTCAGTGGCGGTGTGCCTCAGATCTTTGCTATTTAAAGAGCTGTGTTGCACTGCAACTATTATAGACAGGCGTGCAGCTTACCATCAGGCGCACGACTTGTTCGTCCCGCTACTTGATATTGTAAAAAAAGTAAATAAATCGTTGGAAAAAATAATAATGTAAAAACAATCACAGCGTTCACTTGCGCCTAACTAGCATGCCACAAGACTTAATGCCAGAATTACACTATAATCATATTCAAACAAATATAATTTTTAAATGCTATGAAATGAGTTTATTTGCATAAGATATGGTTACATAAAAGTTTACAAAGAAGTTGTTAATTATGTGCAGCATATCTTACCGTTCAATTGGCATGGCAAAATTTAATATGTACTAAAGTGCTATAAGTTTATTAGGTATATTCTAAAAATTCTTTGACATTACAAAAACAATTTTCTAAAAGTTATTTCTCTAATTTCAATACTTTCAAATCATTCGGTATTTTATTAAATAGTTTCATACCCATGCTATAACAATTTATTTGAGGTAGTGCAGTTTGAGGACAGTAGTCTAGCACCGTCTATCAGGTTTCCTTGTATGTCTGGGATTGATTACTAATGTGCTTCAGAATCTCTGTATTTAGGGTTCCGACTATAATTCTAATAATTCTGCATTACATATTTACTCAACATGATACACATACTTCACAGATAAGAATCAAGAGCCAAAATGCCCACTTGAATGTTCATTAAATTGGTATATCTACTATCTACTATTGGTATCACCTGTCTGCACGTATGATCTAATCAATTATGTCGTGCTATGTACGATTACTCATAGCGCCAACTTTCCATTACTTTATACCACGGCTGCCAGAAATATTATCGAATATAATGCCAGAAATAAATTCAGATTGCAACATTTAAAATTTATAAAGACTACCTGCCACTAACTGCCACCGTCAGTCACGTCACGACATACGACGTATTTTACAAACAAAATCGTGCGCGATCTCCGTTCTGTAGAGATTGGCGACTGCGCTACTATTTGTAGTTCGCTTTTATTTTTAAATTCTAATTATGAACCAAAAGTGTAAATATTGTAAATACAAATAAGATAATTGTACAAAATTGAATCAAAATAATAAACACGCCGAATGCCTATAAAACTGTAAAGGATAGTGCGGATCAACTTTTCAAATGGAATTAAACGTTACGTCAAAGTGAGTAATAATAGGAAACGACTATTATAAAGTAGCCGCTAGCCAAATCTGTATATCGTGACGTAAGTGACAGGCTTGACAAAATCACGGTGATTTGTCACTATGATATTTTGTAACTGGAACGATAGTCACGGTGATAGAAATGTAACGCTTTCCCCCATGTTTACTGACGCGTCAGAACGGTATTGGTTTCATACACATAGCACAAGCCGTCACGTCAGATTGCGACACACTAATATAAATCTAACCACATTAAATGTATGAAACCGATACCGTTCTGGAGCCTCCGTGTCGTGAGGCGTCAGAACACGTCAGACAAACGTAAATCTGGTTAGTTGGTCAAGCTTTACATACATTATTTACATGGAGGCTTATATTTTGAACTCTTCATTCTGAAATATTTTACCACAGAATTTCATAGCTTTTTCAAAGTTATTACAATAAACAATATTAGTAAACATGTCATGTAAATGTAATGTAAATATAAAAATAGTACGAAAATGTAAAAATAATACGAAAGTTATTTAAATTACCGACATTCTTCAAAACCTGTCATATTATGTGTACTGCGCCTTAAGGACTAAGTAATGTAAAAAAAATACATTGACATAAAACACTCTGTGTGTAAAATTTTTTCACTTGCATACCACAAGATTCTGTTACTATATTATTCCTCATTGTGGTCAAAAATCAAATCCTTCCAGTGCTTAGGCCTCACCCCAGAGGAGCTCGAGACACGGGAAGTGGATTTCATTGACATCGCCTACGATGAGATCAAGCCACATCACTACAAGGAGGCTGAAGACCCCAAGTTCTTTAAATCTGAAAAGACCGGCCGGGGGCCTCTTGTGGAGGGATGGCGAGATACGCAAAAACCTATCATGTGCTGCTATAAAGCTGTCAGTGTGAAGTTTGAGGTGTGGGGACTGCAAACTCGTGTGGAGGATTACGTGCAAGGTGTAAGTATAAAATTTCTCATTTCTAACAACACAGTAGTGGCGAGTGACAAGCTACGGACATAAATGTTTCGTATATTTTGTAATGACTCGTCTCACTCGTGTAGCCAATAGCCGCTACGTGTTAGTCGAGTGGCAGTTACACGATTCTCGAGTGGTGGATACACGATTCTCGAGTAGCGGTTACACATTTCTCGAGTGACGACTACACGTTTCTCGAGAGACAGATACAGGTTTTGCGGGGTACTCTCGTAGCTGCTTCACCAATATTTTGCATTTCCCACTGCAAGGGCAGGCAATGTTTTCTTAACAATCACATTTACCGACCATTCTATTTATAGATATACACTTTATTGCTCACACACAGGAACAAAAACAGTTCATATACAACCAACAACGAATGTGGGCAGGCGGCCTTAGAGCGATCTCTTCCAGACAAGGATACGTAGTGTGTCAATAGCAAAATTTGAATTGTGTAGATAAACAAAAATTAATATTATATTTTATTAATAAATAACGATATAGTATACCTACATATATATTAGTATATATAAATGTACCTAATTAATCTTACACTTGCTAGTAAATATGTACACGTTGCAGACTAGGACAGTGTGAGAAGATATTTACGCTATCCAGTTTTGAAAATAGGAAGCGACTTAGGGCTCTTACACATAAACACGATGTGTAAGAGCGCTTAGGGCTCGCTAGGGTATGACGTCGTCGTGCTACGACGACGCGACGTCGTATCGTGTTTATGTGTAAGAGCACTTAGAATGTCAGATTTCAGACGGGAGTTGGTCCCATAGTTGTGCACCCTTAATCGTAAAGGAGTCTTTGAAATACTCCGAGCGAGTAAAAGGAGGTTTCAGTAGGTTATCCATTTTAGACCTAAGTTAACGGTTGTGATCTTCCCCGACGAAACGAAAACGTTCCTTAAGGTAAGCCGGAGTACGAGGGTCATATGGAGCGTTATAGAGAAAGCTGAGAACGTGCTCCTCACGGCGCAACTTGATGGGCAGCCATTGAAGCCTTCTCCTATTTTCAGACACATGATCGAACTTGCGCAATCCGTGTATGTATTTATGTGTATATTTTGCAGGCGATTAGAGAGATATTGCTGTTGGGGCACCGGCAGGCGTTCGTATGGATGGACGACTGGTACAACATGACTATTGAAGACGTACGGGAGTACGAGCGCGAGATGCAGGCCAAGACCAACGTTAAGGTAAACTTAATTCTGAACAGTAGGAAATTAGCTTGTCTATATTAAACATAGAAAAACTATTTATAACAAACAACTAACAATGATAAATAATAAGTCAATTAACAAACAAACACATATATTTGCGAATCACTATATTAAAAAGAAATTATTAGTTAGAGCGCTTCTAGCCATTCAGGTCATCAGAGAGTGTTGTCGTTAGAACCGATATCAATCAAGTTTCACTGCTGAACTTGGGTTCCATCTAAATTTCCACCTGCCTGTATTGAAAACGATGACATTAAAAAAAAGCTACGATAACATTTTTTTTAAATAACGTTTTCCTCAATTTCAGCTACAAACGACCATAGAAAAAGCAGAAAACGCAGGCGATGGTGAGGAAGACAAGAAGTTGGAGTCATCAAAACCGAGCACACCAAAATCACCGAAATCACCAAAAAGTCCAGGCGCCACACCCACAGCAGAACCAAAATCTTGGTTCTCCTGGTCCTAAGTTACGTCACAGAGGATGCTTAATCTGCTAATAGTTTGACTATCGTAATTGGCAAACTAATTATGCTTGAGATAATATCGGGAATTAATACTATCGACAACATAGGAAAATAATAATTAGTTTTCGAAGTCACGATAGAATATCGTTACTTTTATTATTGGCGTGCTTAAAGGCGTACTGATCAATACAATCGGTCACAAATACAGGTAAGAATGCTATTTATTTGTTGGAAAATACTCTATATGTAAGACACTGTGTGTTAGATTATATATTTTACCTGTTTATAGTATTAAATATTGCTGGTTTCCTATTATTGTTACACTTCTCTGAATAGTGTTACATCTCGTTGTATGTTCCTCTCTAGGTATACAATCCACGGTTGTAAATGTACATAGAGTTTGAAAGTTTTATATATTGTGATTAAATAAGTAATAAAAAAATACTTTCATACAAACGGAAGTACTCCTTATACAGAATGATATTACTGAAATCATAGATTTAATTTTATATCAAATTATACGAGATTTTTGTTTTTATTTTTAAAAAGATTACTGAAGCGCCCGCCCCAATGTATCTTGGTGATGAAGGTGGCGTTAATATCCTTCTGATCCCAGCCGGCTCTTACAGGGGTTAGTTCTGTGACCATAATTTGTTTTTACGATATCTAATGCCTTCCAAATCCCATAAAATTGGAAGCAAGCTTAATATATTAGATACTATATCTGTAGGTGAGAGGTAAAGGACCTTAAATCCATATTTTAGAATTTAGATGTTTTTATAGTAAATTCCAATCCATTTTAAACAAAAAGTAAACAAGCCTGTTTGATTAAAATTGTAAAGCAATCACACAATGTATCGAATAAGTAACACTTTCACGTATATTTCGAAGATTTCGACTTGAAATCTCTTCCCTTTTTCCAACAATATTCATTTGAATAGCATCGTAAAATCGTATTTGAAAAATGGTAGTCCATAAGTGAGATTCATCTATACTTCTATGACTTGTCTATGGTTGCATAGTGCTGTACCAAAAAAAAAAAACATTTCATTCATTCAGTTAAAGTTTTTGTAATCGATTAGTAAATCGAAAATTTCAATTGCAATCGAACGAGTATCTTAAGTGTAAGGATTAGAAGGAGGATTTAAAATTAAGATTTCGGAAATTTTAAATATGCTTTTATAGGTTATGTATTTTCACTATTTTCATGTAAGGAGAACCGCTAGTATGACTCAATTAAACAAATCGATTCATTCAATTAATTAATTCGATCAATCGAATTCATTCGATTTGTAGTTGGTATTACTATTGGCCGTCACTAAATCGTCTATTTTGTTTAAAATGGATTGAAACGAAGTATACAAACATTGCTTTGGAATACTAAAAATCACGCAATGGTTAGAGAAATTTAAGCCCTATCGTCGTTTGTTTTTTATTTAACATGTTTTATTTGACCTTTTGATTTTAAATGTCTAGTTAAGAGCCTCCTGTTTAAAATACTCTGGCACTTTAGGTTCTTTACCTCTCAACTACAGGTATGTGAACTCTGTTAATAATCTGCCTTGTTGACTTTACGTCCAGCCGTATTTACTTTGTGCAATGATATTTATTGTATAACGCAAGCAGCGGACCAAAACCTGCAAATGGGTAATTTTCAGGTTAGTTTTCTCTACCTAATTTCGGTGGCAATTTTTATTATTGAAATATTTTAGAGTATTATCATGATATATTTTTTAATATTCGAGTGTAGTATCTTGAAATATTATTTGATATTTTACGATAATATACTTGAATATTTAAATAATAAAAATTGCCACCGAAATTAGGTAGGGAAAACTATTCTGAAAGTCACCCAAATATGGCGGGTGTTCACAACATTGCTTTTGTGCACCCGCCATGTTGAAGAATATTTAAAAAAAATTGCAATGGCAGTGTTATAGTCAGTAAAAAATGTGAGATTTCCCAGTACTGTCATACCCTATACGTTATTGAAGCCTGTGATAATATTGTGGAGATTTGAACCGCATCTCCGACTGCAGATATGGAGCTAAGTATATGTGTATCAAGCTGTTCCAGGACGGCCCTCACCAGAGGTAATTCTTTTTCGCTGCTGTTCTTCTCTTTTAGATACTGTCCAAGAAGAACGTTCTCTATGTAACTAGAGATCCGTAGACCTCGCTTTAAGTGCACCTACTCTGTTTGACGCATTAGCTTTCAGCTGCTTTTCCAACAGGATTGATTTCCCTGCAAAACCTGTTTTCCACCTTGCTTTATTCCTTGCTGTATTTCAAAGCACTCCTTTTAAGAACGCATCTACCTCCCAAGTACAATATATAACATCGTGGTGTAGATAGGTTTTTTCACATCATGTTTTGGCAAATTGGTTTGAGGAAACATGATTTGAAAATTTAAAAAAAACTGATAGAATGTCATTGCGAATCATGAGGTGATTTTTAATTTATACATAATAATTAGTTATCCACTTATAAACGAAAATATAATATTTATTGGTTCCATTAAGTAATTTTTTTGAACTTTCAAATCGTGTTTTCTCTATAATTACGAATATTTTTTAAATAAATAAATAAATTATTGTGGTAATACCAAATTATATAGAGTAAACTTCGGGTTTGCCAACGACCTATGGAGCGCAGTCTCAGGGAGTTAAGTTGTCAGACCGAATTAGAAATAAGTGATCTGCGCTCCAAAACACGATTGCAGATGTAAGTCAACAAGAGGGTAAAATAAAATGAGACTGGGCGGACGAGTCGTCGAGAGGGGAGGGAAGGCCTTTGCCCACCAGTGGGACAGTATAGGGTATGGGCTTTTTTTAAATAAAAAAATGGCACTGCTAATGAGACGAATTAATATAAAAAGAATTATAGTGATCCTCGGGGCCCAAAGACCACTTCACTGCAATGCCGTTATAAATGCGTCGCGTCACTTTAAAGTCGTCGCGTCACATTCTATAATCTTGATAGCGCAATATGCGCGAGAGCCTTGTAAGTAATACTTAAAAATTTAATCTAATAAATATTAATGATTATGACCAAATACAAAACTAGCCTAATTAGCACATTTCGTTTTTATAAAATTCGAAAACCAGTATTTCCAGGATGCCGTCTTCCATGTCGCGCGTTTAGACACTTTGTGAAAAAAAAAACCTGCATATCATTCGTTTCACCGCATTTATCTTCATCTGTGTGATGACAGGGTCTGCCTGTCTTAACTCATTCCATTATGTTTTCGAAATCACTGAAAATAGTGACGTCTTTCATGATCACAGCTGTCCAAGTGGTTATGGTCGGGCCAATTTCTTGGTTTCCAATGTAGTTGGAAGAGCTACATTTTACATACCCAAAAGCTATACAAGACTATTTACATCAATCGAGTTTTACCTTGTGTTATATAAGGGAAAAAGGCGTGATACTCGTAGCTTAATTTTTTGTCCTACCGCCTTTCCACTTGGATACAAATCCGATCTCGCACTTGTTTTTTGGAATTTATGTGCGAAATTTAATTTGAAATTTACCATGTACTTTTCGGTGAAGGAAAACATCGTAATGAAACCTGCACGTTGAAGAAGGTTCACATTCACAACCCTCGGAAATCCCTCGCCTCAGCATTGGAACGTATAAATGGGTTGATGATATAAGGGAAATCGCGACCAAGCTGCGAGCACATCGCTTTTTAGTGGTACGTTTTTCCTATACACAGCAAATACTCCCACACAAACGCGTACATGGGTTGTCCTAAGATTACTTCACCGCAGTGCTGATATACGAGTACAACTGCCTCAGTGGCCCAACGGTTACCATATCGGACTGCCACGCATAGGTGCCAGGTTCGATTCCCGGACCGGGACAAATATTCCTATGGCTTACATTCATTTCCCTCGTGAATTTGGGTGTAATTTGTGGTTGTCTATGTGTGTGTCAATGGCATCCGCGACACAGGTTTCCCTAGTGTGGGGCTATATTGAGTGTGTGTGTTATTATTATTATTAGTACTCGTTGTGAAGCTATACCGTGTAGACGGGCTTTTATAAGTAATTGTCCAGCACAGGCTATGAATAGTTTATGCACCATAATGTATTAATTTCACCTATTTATATACAGACGTTATTTTAGGTTTTTTCTGTCCATTTTAGTTATAACAGAAACTACTACTTATAAGTGTTTAATGTTAAGTGTTAGAATTGTAAATTGTATTGGTGTTTATCAGTAACTTTGACATTTTCACGGCCTTTAACTTAACGCAGTTGTAAAGTAGTGAACGCAACGTTCATTATCGCAATATTAAATGTAATAATATGTGTTAGTAAATTTCAATGTACATTTTTTATGGTTCTAACAAAATAATGCGAAGAATGCCTATACTTGACACCGCTTTTCTTTTACGCTGATAGTATGCTATCAGCTATCGTCTGCTTAAAGGTAAAACCACATAAGTGGCATCCCACAAATCCACAAAAAAATCTCCAATTTATGTACCTGTGTAAGAAAATCACCATCTTTCTGCAGATAAAACCACTTATTGAGTTTATAGCTTTTTTGTTATTGAGTTTTACCTGCAGAAACATAGTAATTTTCTTACCATAGCCATTTAAAGACTTTTTGTTGAAATGTCACTTATGTGGTTTTAGAATATTTTATCGATCGATCGATTAGAGAAGGGGTTTCAAATTAGCCAAATTCACTTTATATGTATATAGTAATCATAAACTATCAACATTATACTTGTTTAACAATATATTACTTGAGAATGAAAATAGCATCAAATTTATAAAAATTACCTATTTTACTACTATTTCAAGAAATATTTTGTAGAAAATATTTGGATGTGGGTTACAACACTTTTGCGCAGATAGCGTCATTTATATTCGTGATTTATAGGCGTGAAATCGGCGTGACATATCATACTTTTCCAAAGTGGTCTCTACCGTACTACTAGTGGCCTCCCAGTGGGTGCTGATGAGCCTAGGGAAGGCGGTAGGGGCCTCGGAAGCAATAGGTACTGTCCAGAGGGTGCTATCGCATCTGAAAAAACCCTGAATTATTAATATAAACTACACTACATTATATTCCTTATGATTTTTTTTGTGTTAAATAAACAATTCGTGTTTTCATTTATTTTTCAAGACTAAGTTTGTGAAAGTTGCCAAATAGTTTGGGAATCATGGTATAAATCATCCTTTGTATTACTTTTCAACGTTTTTTACACTTTAATTTGAAAGTTAGCAGATAATGTACTATGGTGTTTGATAGTCCTACAGCATCAGCAATCATGCGCCATCTAACGGGAAAAATAGTGTGTCTCTCCATTTCAATCCAGTATGAATAGTATACGTAGGTAGTGACGTAATTCATTTTAATTGTACAATATTATTGTATTGTAATATAGTGAACAATTAATAAAGAATGATACTTGATTGAAGTAAAATTAATTTTATCCACGCCGATTTTACGCCGATCAAGTTCATCGTCAGCGGCGGTGCCATGTGTTTTGTTGGTCTTCGTACAAAGCCGGAATCGTAAAATTACAACTCATGTAGTTTGCTTTAATTAATTACCAAACAAATATTACCATAATATTTAATTTATCGCTGTTCCTATATATTTTAAACCTAATTTCAGTAAATAATATTGACAGGAGTAAATTTTCATCCTTAAATTTATATTTTGCAGTTACTCATTACAGCAGGTTGTATTTTTATCACATCACTAATTTTAAGAAGTGTTTGTACAGTCGCTTGTATCAATATGTACAGAAATTACAATTAAATAATATCCGAAAACCCATTTTAATATTGTTATGATTATTAATACAAAGATCGAACACTCAGAAAAAATTCCTTCGATCCGGCCGGATTCGATTTTTAATATTGTTTTTCTGCAAAACATTTCATGATTTCATTAGACAATCGTATTTGAATTTCACAACGTTTATTGTATGTACATACATATTTTTGCAATACATTATAAGCTACACATTAACAGATCTGGTTCCGTTGCATTGGAGGAGATATTCGAACAAAAGTGGGTACCTTGATGTGCTGTTGACTGTACGTGACTGCACTTGTAAAATATCCTTTTACAATGTGTGTATTGACTGAAGAAATACAATTTACAACTGTAATTCTTCCTTTGATTAATAAATTGAATCTTTTCTGAGCAGGTTACCAATTTCTCAACTCTTGAATATCTTCATATTTCTTGAGTGTTTTAACAATAAATAAAATATTAATAAAATATTCCATAATATAAATTATAAGAAACATAAAAAACACTGCATGTGTTAATTATTTCATACCAAAGTGAGGGTTAGTTATTTTATAAATATTTATTAAGATCGGAATAGGCGGGGTATATCTACCTAAACTTCATAGAATTTATACATACAGGGTGACGGGAAACTCGATACATTCCTTCTAATGGGTGAAAAAAAAAAAAAATCGAATCCAATTTAGTCATGTCCAAAAATGAGTACTTTCGGAGATATTGAAGATTTTAGGTTTTTTTTGTTAAAAATCCCGATTTCCAGCTTTATTTCTATTTTTTCTCAAAAGTTTCTCTTTATTTCTTGTTTGTTTTTTCTTTATCTGGTAGTTATTGAATCAAAGTTATTGTTTAATAAAAGAGGGCACGAAATAACTTTACTATGGTGGATCAAAAATGATAAAGAAACACTTAAAAAAATAAACCGTTTACTTACTAAAAGGAGTGCCTTGTAAAAGAAATGTACGGACGGATGTGAAAAAACGATTGATGTTATTCTTTTTTTTTTTAATTAAACGCTCTGGTATATGTGGCCAGTGGTTCATGTGGACATTGTTGTCATAACTGCCTCCGTGGCCGAACGGTCACCATGCCGGACTGCCACGCAGAGGTCCCAGGTTCGATTCCCGGGCCGAGAGAAATATTTGTATAGCCTACATTTATTTCTCTCGTGAGTTTGGGTGTAATTTGTGGTTGTTTATGTGTGTGTCCATGGCACCCGCGACACAGGGTTTTCCCTAGTGCGGGGCTATGTTGATTGTGAGCGTTATAAAGCCGGGTACCAACTAGCGAGCTGTAACCGTTAGCGCCCAGTTAAACGACGCGAAAGTTTTCGCGCGGCCGCCGCGAGGCGACCGCCCAGTTACCACGCTTTCACGCACATTAATGGCGAATCTGAACTCTATTTACTAGGTAATAACATTTAAATTCCTCTGGATAAAACAAACAAAGACGAGCCAGACTCGCCCGCGCGCCCGAGATGCTTAAAAGCTAAATTAAAAGAATGTACTTTGCCATGACAGTTAGATGCACGCGGTCCCCGTGCAGCGAACGCGCGGCGTGAGCGCGATTAAATTCGTGTCGAATAAATGCGCCCTAACCGTTGCATGTTAAATTACCAAAAATCATAGTGTTTGCGTGATTCGCGAGCTTGCCGCGACGGACGATAACTGGTACTCATTTTAGTAGTGAAGCATGTTTCACGCGTACACACTAGACCTCAGTACTGTATCTGTACGTTATAGTTACGGCTCGGTAATGAGTACCTGGCTTAATTCAAAATTTTTTTAGCGTTCCTAAATATGTCCATAAAAGTATTTATATATTTTTAATAATTCCGGTACTTTAGAAATAGGTACTATTCACTCTTTGTTTATTACTAGAAGTTTAGATAAATATATTTTGATTTCTGATGTTTAAATATAGGTTAAAAGAAAGTATTTGAAAGTAACGGTTTTTAGTACATAGTGTATGTTCTGCGTTTAAATGTACGTGGTTTATTTATAATACTTTGTTTTAACTTGGTTTAGATTAATTAGTAAAATGTTTAGAGTATTATAAGTGATATTAAAGTTACTGATGGTAATGCTTTTTCGAGATAAGCTTATGATCAGTGAAAAAGAGCCTTCTTGATAAGAGGGAAGCTAATGGATTCATTTAATTTTTCTCCTGAATAACAAAAAGAACCAAGATGAACATTTGACAAATGTCCTATTTTAAATTTTAACTTCGTTTATTTAATTACGATGTACTCTCAGGAAAATAGTATTTTTTGCATGTAGTGAAACAAAATCTATTTTTGTTATATATAGTTAGGTTTTTTATATAGTCCCAGCAGAACTACTCAATAAAACTAGTGGGAACGAAGGCTCGTTTGCCTCCTACTTCATTTACTTACGTAGAAATGAAAAAGAAGAACAATGGATTTTGTGTAGGCTACATTTAACAACCGAATATCATTATTTATTTAGGGTGCCTGCATTAGACGCATGTAGAAGCGCTTCAATGGCACGACTGTGGCGTGGCAGCCGTGGCAGTAATTTAGTTCACTAAATTGTGACTGCAAAAGTGGCAAGTGCGTGTCACGACAGTGGCACTGCAACTGCGCTTCTAAATGTTCTATGAAAATTAGTATCTTCTTGCGTATGCCACACTTTTATGGGACAAGGCTGTCGAGAAACGCAGTAAATCGCTTGCATATCAAAGGCCTTTGATAGGGTTTGGCATGATAGCCTGTTAAACTTCCAGCTTACGGAATTCCTGTTGGCTTTTGCATATGGATAGGCGATTTTCTGAAGGATAGGTCAATCCCTGTAGTTGTAGATGGTTGCTCATCTGCTCCTCATGGTATAAATGTACCTCAGGGATCTGTCCTCTCCGCCACTATTTTTGCTGCATATCAACGACCTGCTGCTGATACCCGGTATCTTTGGGTACACAGACGACAGCACAGTGGTCTCTACCAAACACAGGCGTGTCTTTTCACATCAAAACGGAGTCCCCTGCACCTTACTCCGACTTTCAGAGACGTATCCGTGCCGATAAGGGACCACCTTGAGCTACTTGGTCTGGACTTTGGACGGCTCTGCCCATTACCAGTTAGCTGCCTTGGACTCGGTAGAGCGAAAAGCAAAGAGACTTATTGACAACAATTCTCTCGTAGAGTCGAAGCTTCAAAATCTCGGCCATCGCAGAAAAGTAGCCTGCTTGTTGGTTTTCTATCAGATGCGTACGGCAAAGGAATGGAATGCTCTACTATTTGTATTTCCTGAAAAGTACAATTTGAGGCCATTCAACGTAGAGTGAATA